TGAAAATTTTGCCGGAAACCACTACTGGTGCCAAAAACCCCGTTGGGGCGAATAGTGGGGCTACTTCGCTTAACACCTGTCGCTTAGTCAGCAGACCGCTATGTTGGTTTACCGCGACCTTAAAGAGCAAATCGTCTGTAACTGGATCCCAACGTAGACCCAGCACGGTTGCTATAGGGGCGTCGATATCTCGCTCCGCAGGTAATGGGGAGTCCATGAAATGCTGAAGAACCATTGACCTGTTCGAATTCCACTTACGTAGTTTGAAGCATCCAGATGATAGAATCGTATCCACCGCATTCGCCAAGGTAATTGCTTCCTGAGTATCAGCACAGCTTGTGAGAAAATCGTCCAGGTAAAATGAAGACAGTATGGTGTTACGTGCGGTTATGGCCTGATTATGATCACTCACCCGATTGTACTTGTCTATCGCGCACTGATTTAATGAGCGTACCGCGTTGTACGGGCTGCATGCCATTCCATATGTCACATTTTTAAGACGATATACTCTTATGTCCTCGGCCGGTGCTTCTCGCCAAAGAATTCGTTGTAGATCTCGGTCCTTTGGAGCTACCAAAACTTGACGAAACATTTTTTCCACATCCGCCGTAAGAGCGACGGGGTATCTCCGGAAGCGAAGTATAATGTTAATCAAAGGGTCTTGAAGACTGGGTCCCACCAATTGTATTTCGTTAAGCGTGACGCCATTAGAAGTTCGCGCCGATGCGTTAAAAACGACGCGGAATTTCTCTGTCACCGCATGATGCGGAATGTAGTATGTACGGGAGTGATCACCTGGGTTATCCACGGGTTCCATGTGACCCAATTCGATGTACTCCCTCATGAACTCTATATATTTATCACGCATGTCTTTATCGACCGTCAGCCGGCGCTCCAAATGATGAAACTGTCGTACGGCATTATAATATGAATCGCCCAGCTCTGAGGCATCACCCCGTATCGGGAGGCGTACCATGTAGCGGCCCTCCGGAGTACGCGTGTGTGTCTTCGAAAATATCAGCTCGCTCTCGTCATCAACAGTCTCAGTGCCCGCAGGCTCATCTTCGAGCTTCCAGAAGTTACTCAAAATTGCATCTAAACGACTATCTTCCAAAATCTGAGCACGATATGACTGCAAGCTAGGTATGTCGTGGTTGGCTGTGGATGTTGGACCGAAGATGACCCAACCCTACCGCGTAAGTTGAGCATGAGGTTCGTTCTGCCCACCACGAATGATGTCTCCTTCCAAGATGAGACCCCAAAAATCGGCCCCTAATAATAGGTCGATGACGCCTGGTATACCAAGATTTGGATCTGCCATGTGCAGACCAGCCAAATGTTTATAACGTTTCACATCGATCTGCGCTGCCGGAATGACCGAGGTAATCGACGTGATAACTAATGCTTCAATCGCCATTGCGAAGTCAGAATGTGTTGATTCAATCGTAATTTGTACCACACCCTTTGTGCGCGTACATGAGAAGGCGCCAATACCTTCCACCAAGACGTCGTACGCATTTCTGTGAAGATTTAGACTGTTAGCAAAACTTTCTGATATAAAGCTTACTTGTGATCCGGGATCGCACAAGATCCGAGCTAAACGTTTTCCTGAGTTAGTGCCGGAAATGTACGCACATGCTGTTGCCAGGAGCGTGGTATGCCCACCCAGTGATGCCAGACATTCTCTGTTAAATATCCCACGGAAATGGGGAAAAAATCCCTCAATTACCCACATATTGAAAATTTATCCCACAAAATTCCCAACGAATTTAAACATATACATGTTTCAGTAGTAAAGAAGTAAAATTCATATAAAATAATAATAATAGTTTGGCGCTTACACATATGTGCTTTTCCTCCAATTTGTGGCGGTCCCCTTGATGTCACACAAAGGGGAGGGACCTACAGTTTTACGCCGACTCCGAATGGCGAGTGTATTTTTATGAGAAGCTGTTTTTCATGGCAGGAATACACTCGGAGGTTTGCCATTGCTTGTCGAGGGCCGACCGCTGTTAAGAATTTTTTCACTCATTCGTTTTTCCCCTTTAATTTTTTTGCTCACTCACTAAGGGCCTAAAAGAATTTTTTGGTGACTTTAAAATTGAAGCACATTCATGTGCTATTTAACATTTCTTCAGATAATTTGTTCCGCTTTTTACATGAAACACCAGTTACAACTGAAAAGATTCTTTCTTACTCAGCGCTTGAATTGGTTAACGTAAGAAAATTTTCGAAATTGTCCTTATACTTTTTAACAATTATATACCCTTTCACTCCACATCACATCTTCAGAACGATTAATTACGTAAGAATGTCGAATATTCTTAAATTTTGATCAATTATGCAACAATAACTGCGTCAAAAGAAAATCCCTTATTTATATGAAGTGTCCCTTTTTTCCCTTTTAATAATTTTTGATGCAAAATATCCCTCAAATAGGGAAATTACCCACAATCTGGCATCACTGTGCCCACCTTGAGTATGGCAGCCAATTGCCGATTCGGATAGTCATAAAGATGATGATGTGGGCGTAGATGACTTAACCTGCGACGATGGGGGATTGGACGTGGCAGGCATGGCGGCCTTCGATGCCGCAGCTGCGGCAGTGTTTGGAGAATCACGGCAGAAAATTGTATTGTGTTTGCGTCCGCACTTATGGCATCCACCTGAAGAGCTCTGGTTGGATAAATGCCCTTGTCCTAAACAATTAAAGCACAGACCAGACTTTCTTAGGGCCTCAAATCGTTTTTCTGGTGGCAAATCTAATATTCTTGGACAACGTATGATCTTGTGAGCACACTGGCAGTATGGACACTTAGAATTCTCGGACGCTAAATTGCATTTAACTGCACGTGCTGATGACGATCGCCCTTGCTGACGTCCTACCCCTTGTTCAGAGCCGGGACGCACCCGTACAAGCTCTGTGGAAAGACTGTGCGCTCTCTTCTCCAGAAATTGCAATAAATCTGTTAAGCTGCTTATCTCAGTCGGAGAACAGTGCATGCACCACTCACGCTGTGTTACAGATGGAAGTTTCGAGAATACAATGGGTACTGTCAATGCGTCCCACTCAGTCACTGGCAATTTCATAACAGTCAATGCACGCAGGGACTCGCTCACTACATCGACGATATTCAGCAGCGTCTTTGCAGAGTCCTCCGACACTGGTGCGAGGTTGAGGAAGCGAGCGACATGTACTTCTGCTAACTGCTTGGGGTTATCATACCGCTCATTTAATGCTCGCCACAATTCCTCGTAACCTCCCGAATACAGACCACCAGAGAGAGAGACTCACCAGAGGAACCGATGCTGATGGCACAGCTTGACGCAATTTACCGAGTTTATATGCTGGCGGTAAATCCCTGTTGTGCACTAATGTTTCAAAGGCGTCCTTAAAGGCCAACCAATTGTGCAGCGCTCCGTCAAAGGTTGGAATGTTTAATGGCTCGAGTTTCAACTCAATAGGCGGATCTCCCTTACGCTGGATGACGGAGTCTCCAGGATTAACTTGCACTCTACGTAGACGCAGAAGACTTGCACATAACTCGTTGTAGATTTCTTCAGTGGAATGCCACCAAGATGTATGTACCTCAAGCTCCTCGTCTTTGGCCGAGCGAATTAATGTTTCGTGATTCTGCAACATGCGGTCATAATGACCACTACCGGACTTCAGCATTTGTTCAGCCTTCGCGGAGTCCAATTCACCTGTTCCTGCCTTTCGGACCTGATCCATAAGGCGAGAAGTTGCTGATGCGTGAAACTTCCTCAGATTTATTTCCGTCATTGTGCTGAAGCAATGTGATAATTGTGACGTAAACCGTGTGCGCCAGCCAATCCACAAGTATCGATGCAATGGCCCACAATCCGATTACAATTGTGTCCTCTTTGGCATAAACCGTCAAAACAATTTGGGTTAAAAGTATTCTATTCCTCACAGGAGGCACCATAAATTATGTCAAGTAAAAAGATCAGCTTA